CTATGTTTATACTAGCTAGAAAAGATAAAGATTTAAAAAATAAAGCCTTTTTTAATACTTAGATATAAGATAATAGTAGTTACATAATATACTTATAGCTAAAAGTAAAAAACTAATAAGTAGAATAAATGTCTTTAGAATGTTTATAATAGTTAATTTAAAAGCTAACTAAACTATATCTATATTATTATTTATAAACTTAAATAAGTATAATAAAATAAATAATTAACATAGTAACTTAGATAGCTTAGAAAGTAATAATTAAAGAATATAGATATATAACTAATATAGTTACTTTAGATAATAGAACTACTGCTAAGCTATAAGTACTTATAGCTACTTAGTAGTAATTATAATTATAATTAAGATAATAATTATAATAGTACTAGTACTTACTCTTATAATAAAGTAGTTACTATTATACGCTTAATAATGCTACTACTTAGTCTCTAAGTAGTGTTAGTAATAGCTATAATCTTTCTTTATTCTTAATACTTTATACTCTTTACTTAAGTAGAATTCTTAGATTAAGTTTTCTATATTTATAAACTTTAAAGCTAAAGTCTAAGTATTCTAATATTTATCTAAGTTTTCTAGTATAGCTAATAATATAGTTAGCTTTTTTCTTTTTTACTTCTAGAAAGAGTATAACTTTCTAAGCTTCTTTACTATCTAAAGTAATATTAAATAGTTAAGTATTATTTTTTTAATTTTCTTTTATATGTCTTTATTCTTAAAGTTATATATATTATATAATATATATTTTAGTGAAGTAGTAATAATTAGTAGTATATATATATTTTAAGTATAGTTTATACCTTAAATAAATTAATAACCTTACTAAATAACTTCTTTTTTAGTTATTATAGAATGTTTATATATTTTATACTTAGTAATACTAATTTTAAATCCTAAAAAAAAATTAAGATCTATATATTAACTATAATTATAATAGCTCTAGTTTTTCTATACTTAGTATTGTTATTATTTAGCTAATACATATGTAATTTATATATAATATACTCTATTAATAGTGTTTAGTACTTCCTCTTTTAGCTAGCTATTTATAGATAGTATATAGAGTAATAAGTTTTTTCTATATATAGTATAGAATAGTCTTAATTCTATAAGTTTATAGACTAAACTATTATAAGTAAATTATATAGCAAGTAATAATATAATCTAGTTATTTTACGTATTTATAATAATACTTAAAAATACTCTAAAATATTCTAGATTTTATATTTAGTTTGTTTATCTATATATAATTTAAAAGCTATACTAGATTTATACTTTACTTATACTTAGTAGTAAACTTTTATCTAAAAAGTTAAAATTAGAATTAATTTCTACTCTAATTAGCTACTAATTAAAATACTCTAATATATGTATATATATAAATAAAGTAGAATTTAGTAAATTATTAAAAATCTTATATCTTTAAACTAAGTATATCTTTTTTTATGTAGCATCTAATAGCTTCTACTTTTATAAGTATACTGCTATTTTATTCTAACTCTATAATCTTAGCTATATTAAGTAGATTACTATATACTTATAAGCTATAATAGATTAATACTATAAAGTATTGTTCTTCTCTAGTAGAATATACTTATAGCTATTTAAACTTAAGCTTTATATTATATCTTTTAAATTTATTAGTAGTATAAACGTTATAATTATAAAACGTTATTTTAGTATATAGTAAGAAATACTTAGAAAAGCTATTAACCTACTCTAGTTAGCTATATTACGTATAGTTTAGTTACTTATCCTACTTAAGCTAATAGTATAAGACTTAGTAGTTTTAGAATAATATTTATATAATTCTATAGTTAAGTAGTAAAGAGCTTTAATATTTCTTAACTTATTATTAGTTATTGTTATAACTATTTAGAAGAGAACTTCTAGAAAGCTTTTAAGTAACTTTTAGCTTAAAAAAATAAAGCTTATTAGTCTATAGTTATAATATTATTATTATTAAGTTATATTAGAAGATTAGACTATAGTAATTAAAGAGAGATTTTAAGAGACTTTATAATATAAAAGTTAATAAGTAGACTCTTAAATATATATAACTTACTTATTTTTCTAGTAATATTACTTTAAAAATTATAAGTATATCTATAAATACGTTTCTAAATATTATTATAAATATATTTATATATATATCTATAAGTATACTTATAACTATTTCTTATATCTACTCTTAAGTTAAGCTTTTTAAGTAAACTACTTTTTATAGTAAGTTTTATAAAAATACTATATATAATATAGTACTAAAAATTTACTACTAATATATAGAAAATAAAATATAAATTACTTCTTAAGTTTATATTAACTTAATTCTAAGGCTTTAGAAAAACGTAATACTAATAATTACTACTAGTATTACTTATTATAAACTTACTTACTATTTACTATAGTTTAAAGCTAATAAAGAAAACTATAATCTATTACTTAAAGAAATAGTTAAATATTATATTTTATAGAAGAATTTATTATATTTCTATATAATAAAGTTATAAGCTAATAACTTATAGCTATAAGAGATAGTATATCTTATAAACGCCTATATAGCTAAGATTAATAGTATCTAGTTTTAAGCTTTTATAAACTTATAGAAGTAAGTTAAGAGTTTTATTAATTACTTATTAATAAAGCTCTACTATTATAAGTACCTTTTATTTTTACTTTTATCTTTTTTAACTCTTTTATAAACTAATTAAATTAAGTTATTATACGCGTATATATAAAATTAAAAAGCTTTAAAAATAGCTTACTTAAGTAAATTAGATATAACTAAATAGATAGTAGAAGAATAGAGATAGAAGAATAAGAGTATTTATAAATATTAGTATAGTTAAGTTATATAGTAACGCTTATTTAGTAAAAGAAATAGCTAGTATTTATTATATTAATATAGATATAGCTATAGCTATATTAGTAATAAAGTAATATACTATTTTACGTAATTCTAATAGTATAATATAATAAGCCTAAGCTCTAAACGCTATACTTAGTATTATTATCATTCTCCTGCCTGTTAAGAAATTAATAGTAATAAAGCTATAATAGTCTAATTACTTTCTATAGTCTTATTAGTTTCTAGTATATAAAGCTAAGTATAATTATATATAGTCTTATAGATTTTAAAATAATCCTACTATACGTAGAGGCGCTAATGTATATATTATATATAGAACTGCAGAACACGTCCTATAATTCTTATTACTTATTTGTTTAGCTATGTTGCTACTTTAATTTAAAATGTAATTGTCCTCTTTCTTACTAGTCTACGCTTACCTATAATACTGCTGAAACCGTAACTAATCGATAAACAGCTGACCTCTGCTGCTCCTACTCGTGATCAACGTGAACTGATTACTACGTTTTGCAGATGTGAAGACTGTAAAAGTAGGTCCTTTGCATCGAAAGCTCTACAGGACGCGTGCTACGTCGCTGGAGGATATGGGCTTTAATGCTTTTTGCTTTTCAAATCAGCCGTAGAATGGAAACAACCTTGCACGTTTCGAGGTAGTAGGCTAAGATTCGGTTCTCAGGCGTGCCTTAAGCGCTCATGCAAGCCCAGGCCGGCCCTAGCTGCCCGGTTCGGCATAATTAGCTCTTAGCCCCCGCCTACCCATTACCTAGATCGAGTTAAGCCTTAGGAAGTATGTGTATAGAGACCTGCGATGTAACATCATCCGAATACAAAAAGCAATGCTAGTGCTGATTTTGACATGAAATGATATATGTCGTCTGATAGTGTATGTAAGTGTAGTGGATATACTCTTGGCTATCTTGTATTCGATCACCCGATCGTGATAATCGCTAGAACGATAGTATCCTCATCTATCGGTCAAAAGTTTGGCGTACGCGCAACTATGCTGCATTGGCCCGACTCTAAAACATTTGACGCGGCGATCTAGAACATTATGAGCGGTCACGTAGCTGCCTAGTCGATCAGTATCCTTAGCACGACGATGATGGTATTCGAGGCGGGTAACGAGCCAATGAGCATGAATACGATCTTTGTTATATTCCACGGAGAAACAAGCCCTCACAATTCATTGTGCTCAATTCCATACTTCGGTGCAAAGGCTATACACAGGGGAGCAAAGTTTCCAACGAGCAAACCATAGGCAGATTGATTATCAGATTAGAACAGTCACGAACCAGACAGTGATCTCTCGGGGCCTACTCTAGTAATCAGTCTGCCTATCGCTTAGTTGTTGGGAACTCCACATGAGAGTCCCCAATAACTCCAAGCTGTACAGTCGTACTACAACTCCTGAACCTTTACCAGCTACGACTCTAGCGCTAGATGATAAGGCGGCTGTACATACGGCTTAGTTGCAGCGTAAGACTGTAATGCACTATTGACTTGATTGACGTGCTGGTGATAAGACGCAGGCAAACCGCTGTTGAGTTAAACTGAATTGTATCGCAGTAGAAGTGTGTTCCCAAACACTTGTCTTCACTATATACCGTTTTGTATGTGATGCACCTTCAAGTAATATGTCATTAAATCATGTTGCATGAGCTAAGCTTGATTCTCAAGCAGTATATGGTATGATGATATCGGGTCAATCTTCCAACCTTCCTAACGCACCCATTCAACCCGTGCATCTAGGACATTACAGATGTGCTGCATTTCGTTTTCTTTTCTCCTCCCATAAGCTTTCACTGCCTCTGCACGTCGCTAACACGATCCTCTATTGGCATAACACAGCTTCGTATACTCCGCTTTTGTGAATCATGAGATCATAAACCAAGTCTAGAGTCGAACCCGGCAAAGCCAGTTTCACGTGCTAAGAAGATCTATAGCAATATAAATACTTTCATTGTAGCCACTTTGGAACGATACAGTCAATCTCTTACAGAGCCAGATCATTACACCACCGACGTTGCTTCAAGTTTTTCCGAGTTAGTAGTGCCCCGATATCGCTCGACACTAATCTAACATATCTCACTTAGATCTTGGAAACCCATCCAACATGAGCTACATGTCCGTTGCTATGCGCCCCTGGATTTCCGTGGAATCTTGGGGCCCAGATCGCATCGATGTTATCGGGATCGGCACAGACAATCAAATGTACCGCAAGAGCTTCGACAGGAGTGACCGCGGCTGGAAGCCTGCTGCCACTTCGTGGGAGCCACTGGGCGGCAAGTTCAAGCAGGTTCCCGCGGCCATATCCTGGGGTTTCGGCCGGCTTGACATTTTTGGCATTGGTCTGGACAACCAGCCGTACCACAAGGCGTGGGGAAAGAACAGGAAGGCAGGAGACTTCTGGATCATCAGCGACTGGCAGGGCATAACAGGTGGGCTCGTAAGCGCTCCTGTCCCTGTCTCTTGGGGGAATGGACGCATCGACATCTTCGGCATCGGTGGCACGGGTCATACGATGTACCGCAGGACTTATGGGGAGGACTGGACTCCAGGCGCCTGGGAGAAACTTCCGGGCAAGTTCAAGAGCCTCCCCTCCGCTGTCTCATGGGGTCCAGGCAGGCTTGATGTTTTCGCCATTGGCATGGATGACCAAATGTACCACAGAGCATATGACGGTGGTAAATGGCTGTCCAGTTGGAATGGAATGTCTGGCAAATTCAAGAGCTGTCCGTTTTCTGTATCATGGGGCTCAGGTAGGCTTGATGTCTTTGGCATCGGGCTTGATGATCAGATGTATCACAAAGCCTACGACGGAAAGGACTGGGTTTCGAAGGACTGGAAGGGGATCAGTGTCAAATTCAAGAGCACTCCCTCAGCTGTCTCATGGGAATCTGGCCGGATCGATGTTTTCGGCATTGAGCTAGATGACCAGATGTATCATAAAGCATTCGACAATGGTAACTAGCAAGGTGACTGGAAGGGAATGACTGGAAAGTTCAAGAGCGCTGCCGCCGCGGTCTCGTGGGGAAAAGGCCGGATCGATGTATTTGGTATCGGAATGGACGATGGGGTTTGGCAGCAATACTACACGGACAATAAGTGGTCTGGAAGTTGGGGATCTTTCGGCGGAAAGTTCAAGACATTCTAAGCGCTTTGGTACTGTGTAGGACTTTGTAGATTTCTAGCTCAACCTCAAATCGACTTCTGCCTACTATGCTTACTTCTGGCCTTCTTTAAACATGGTGCACTCCATGTAATCCCTAAGAAATCGTCTCAGCCTTGCGGACATGTCCCGTAGATTGTGGGACGATGATGAGAAAGGTAGAGAGACATCTCAGTAGGCAAATAATGTTTATGTGTCTAACAGGTTAAATCATAAACAGCTGCAGCTGTTATTACTACAAGCATTGTAGTAGAAGAGACCGGCGCAGAATCTCTCGAGCCGTACTGAAGACCACAAGATAGCGAGAACAACTTGTCATCGACTTAAGCGACGACGATAAGTTGTAGGCGTGTTCCAGATCACTTATAGTTAACTTTTGACAGCTGTTGTCTGCTTACGGCCCACTACTTGCTGATGTGACCAGATGTCGGGCCCGTGTTAGTTCCGCTTCATTCTCAGACGGCTACCTACGTCCAATGACCGGATGAGGAGCGTTGATGCATGAGACGGAAATCTGGCCCGTACTAGGCTTAACCATGCTGCACGACCTATGGGGTATTGTGCGTCGATCTACAGTAAGGCACTGTTGCGCTGGGTGTGCCCTTGACAACACCCTTGCATGCGTGCGTGATCTGTGATAGAACTCGGCATATAGACTATAGCGCGGTCACACAATGTCACTCATTGCCGATAGTACGATCGTGCTAGTTCAAGTGTAGTTGTCAGTCCGACCTCCCGCGGTTTAGTGTTGCTAGCAGCTGGGCGGATGCTTTAGTGTCAAACTTCATGCCAGAAAAGAATGCAGGCGCAAGAGTCCCCGCATCGCTGTTGACTTGTTTTTCTTCGTTCTCTTATGCTGTAACCTGCGAGATGAAGCTGTGTTTTGATGTTCTGATCAGGCATTCTCTTCATGCTGAGCGGCTAGCGGACTCCTCGAAGCATCGGGTGCCTGTATGTTCTTTGCTCTAACCGTCTGGTGTATGAAGCTCAAGGTGGAATATATGAGACGAGATGTATTAGACCCCAGGGATAGGCTGACAGACTTGATCAAGTGGCACTTCTCTTAGCGAACCCAGCCGCAGTGTCACGGTCATAAGTAGCACTCGACGAGACGGCGCAACCCTCTTTGAGAGCTGAAGTGTCGAATATAGAAGAAAGTTTAGGTTCTGTCGTTACGAGGACTCGACTCCGGAGGGGTCAGATTGGCGAGGAACCTCATGATTGCCGCTTCAGTCATAGCATGGCTAAGGTTGGGCCATAACCGAAATGAGGCGGTTCGCACTCGCGCTAATGCGAAACAGCGCGTGGAACGCCACGTTCCAGATGGCGCACTATTGGACTACGCCAACCGGCAGTTGGACCTCTCCTCCACTCAACAATTCCTTGCGTGGGGACAATCAGCCACTCCATACATCCATTCCTCTTTACACGGATGTGAGGTCATTACCCTGGGTCGCTGTTGTTCTGGTGCGGGAACTGCGTTAGTGAAGGTCATGGTCGGAAGCCACGCGTCTCAATTGTAACTCAGACACGCATCTAATACCATGGCGACGGGGAAGCCATGATCTTCAATTTTTGAATACACGGACGCAGTATCATGTACTTGGCCTTTTGCAGCAGCCAGATTCTAAAGCGCCATCGCAACCGGCAGATGTCTCTTCACTCGAGCCTAGCGCCACAGCTGGTACCTGAGTACTTACCCTTTCTGGTTCCACACATCCCATCAGATGTGTGGCTTCTAAGCACACAAGAACGCGCTACTTGCCTGCATGTTTTCGCTCTTTGCTAGAGCTGCAGGATCAATGTGCAACATGACCCAAGCCAGGCCTACGATGCTGATCAACTTCAACTTCGATCCGTATGTACATCGAGAAACAACGTTCCTGGGGAACACATAGTCACTTTGTGCTATTGCCTCATGTCCTCAGCGACAATATTCCCACCAAGCCGTGCCCGGAAAATTCATTCCGAAAGCTGCCACCCCGAATCGTGTATGCATGACTCTGGGGAGAAGTTCATTATGGTACCCTAGTACTTAGTTCCCGCCCCTAAACGTTCAACATCGTAAATCCGCATGAGGACTCAAATCCTTTTCGTCCCTCGGCATCGTCTGCTTCAGGCGTTTGGGGCAATTGAGTTCGGCCGTCTGTAACACGATGGAAGCAAGTCGTCTCCGCGATACCGTCATTGGATGCTTTTGTTTACTGATCGTTGAATATCTTTCTAAAGCAGCATGGCGTTTATTCTTCAAGGTGGTGCACATTGATGTAGAGTCGTTCGTGCATTGATAGTGAACTGGTCGTCAGTGCGAGGGGAATGCATATCAGGATGCGACCCCAGCCAGTTCCCGCATTTGAGACCCCTGCTTAAACCTCTAATTTAGATCACCTCCCTGGGTTGTATAATAATTCCTGGATATTATGGTACAAACGCATCTACGCTTGATCTCCGTATTCTTAGTTGTTGAAGCTGCCATGGCCCAGACCTCATCCAATACCTCAGTCGTATCGATGCTGGGGATGATACCTCAGTGCTCGGTAAGTTGTATCTGAGCTACCTAATAAGACAAATCGATATTGATGACATGTTCTCCCAGGTACCATGCGTCATGACAACGCTGTTCAAGGACGGCGGCTGTCCATTAACCACTGCCACAGCTTTAGCAGACTGCGCATGTACCAACACCACGATGCAGTCCCATCTATCCGCCTGTGTGCAACGTTCTTGCGACTTCGCGGAGCAGATAGGTAAAAGTTCTTACACACGGCATCTCACCTTCGAGACACTGACAGCCTTCTAGAAGTCACGGTATTCGCCGGAGGCCTGTGCAAAAGCTATCCAAAGGAGTCGCGGGTACACGAACTGAAGACCATCGCTATCGTTACTATTGCGCTATCCATCCCGTTCCTCACCTTGCGCCTCTATTCGCGGTGGCTCAAGACTCGCCATCTCTGGTCCGATGACGCGTACGCCATCATCGCCGCGGTTCTCCTCGTCGCCGTGTCAGTCATCATCCTTCGAATGTCCCTTATGGGGTTTGGACTCCATTATTGGGACATACCAGTAGCCCACGGCGTCGAGCTGCTGAAGCTGTACTATGCCTGCCAGATGCTCTATGTTCTGGTGCAAATCTTCTCCAAAGTTGCCATCCTGGCGTTGTATTCCCGGCTATTTCCACAATTCATGGCCTGGTTCCAATGGACCGTGCGCATCATGATCACTTTCATGTTTGTCCACGGACTCGTGTTCTTCCTACTCGTTACTTTCCAGTGTCTGCCTATTGTTTCCATCTGGAACAAAACCATTGATGGGAAGTGCCTTCCTGTCAACGTCGTCATCGGCTTCACAGGTGCTGGATTGAGTATCGTCGAAGATATCATCATCTTGCTTCTTCCGATTCATCCCCTCTGGCAACTGCAGATGAGCTTCAGGAAGAAGGTTGGATTGATCGTTCTCATCAGCGTTGGGTCGTTGTAAGTTCTCCGCCCAATAGGCACCGACTGAGACCGTTACTAAATTCTACCCAGCGCATGCATCACCAGCATCGTGCGCCTCAAGTTCGTCCTCAAGTACGCCAACACCTACGACTCAACCTGGGATAATGTCGACGTCATCAAGTGGTCCCTCATTGAGATTCTCTCAGCCTGCATATGCGGCAACCTTATGCCTCTACGCCCAATTGTCGACAAGATACTGCCCAGCCTTCGCTCTGTCTTCAACTCTTACTCCAAGGGGTCGCGTAAGAATTCTGAGAACAGCTCTGATGGCGTCGCAAAGTCTAAGTGGTATCGCGTCGACAAGGGCGATAGGAAACCGAAGCTCATTTCAACGCTCCAGATTACTCGAATGAGCCTGACCCCGCGATGGGCCAGTGAGGAGGAAAGTGCAACTCGGATGACATCGCCCTTGGACAAGCCGCTGCCTGCACTCCCAGAGATGGCGCACAAGGTACATGAACACCATGTTGGAGAGGGATATATGCATTTAGTATCGAATCGAGCTACCAGGGGAAGCCTTGTATGCACAATGCGTTCCTTTGATGAAGAGTCTGAGGCAGGCAGGGGTGGTCGTGAGGTCCTCAGCCCACCAGCTCGCGGCCGCGAAGAGTGCCACTCGGGATCGTGGAGTCGGGCGCTGAGCATGATATTCGAGCGACGATAGCCATTGCTGGCACGAATCCTTTAACCTTACGCAGCTGACGACGTAATGAATTTGATCCCGCCTGAATTTTTGGAGGGCTGACAAAGTGTAGTAATGGTATACGAAGTGTAATTACAGAAAGCCGCACGCAATATTGCTGGTCTGATGTAGAATGCACGAGAGCCTGAAGGCCTCTGAATATTTGATTCAATAGTAGTACACTTAGTACAAGCAGGATCTGAGAAACGAGCGACAATCTGGACCCAACGAGCACTTCGTGTGTGGGCTGGGTGACAACGTTGAAAGCGAATGACGAGAGTTTCCCCTCTCGAAGCGTAAACTCGCGCCTGACGCGTAAAGCAAAGAGAATGCTGAGTATGTAGACATGATTTGGAAAAAGAAGCGCTCGACACAGCCCACAAATGGCTACTAAGGGCAGCTAGTCAGAGCGTGGAGGATAAGAAATAACATCAAGGGCTTGCTGGAATGGCACTTTCCCGGTACACTACCCAGTGAACACACCGCCAACGCCTTGCTGCGAAAAGTATGTTTAAGCTTTGAAATCAAATGTACAATTTACTGAATAGGTACCAAACGCCAGGCGTGGCACTGCCTAGGTGTCTGTCGCACTGTCAAGTCCTGTGGATTCAGAGTCTGGTGTT